GGGGACGGGACATAAACCTTTCCACCTCTCACCACCATTTTACTAATTAGTGACCACACACAGCTCCTATCAGCCTCCCTTGTCCATGTTTTTACATCTGTATTGTGCAGATGGGTCATTCTGAACACCACTGAGTTTCAGCAGCCTGCCTGTCTGACTGTTACACACGCAAAACACCTCAGACTGAGAAACGGAAGCAACCACACATACACTGTCATAGGCCCCAGGGCTCGTTGTGAAGCTGCTGACTGAGCAGTGTAAGGCAGAAAGAGACAGACGAAAACTGTTCAATTATGGAAAGAGCTCTGGGTATAAATTTACCTCTGTCATCCTAAATAATGACTACTGACACAGTTCTGTGTGTGTGTGTGTGTGTGTGTGTGGGAATGGGAGAAAACATCGCTACTAAAATTACTGGTGACATATTGCGTGTGTGGTGGAGGTTTTCCATTCCTTTTTTATGTGACTAACTGACTGTTTGTCTGTGTAGTAGACCTCCACTGATTTTAAAAGGGTAACTGCACACTAACTAGTGTTTTTTTTTTTTTAGCTGTACACATAATCACATAGTTTTGTTGACATATGCTGTCAGTACTGGTGAGTTTTCCAACAAACTTCATATTGTGTGTAAAAACTATTTTCTGTTCAAATGTAGTGGTTATTGTCGGTTTAGATTTGAAAGTTCATTTCTGCCAAATCCTCTGAGCCCTCACTAATTGTAACAACATAGACAAGTCTATTTCATCAGACCGACAGCTATGTTAGCCTATGTTAGCCTATGTTAGCATGCTAAGAACAGAAAACACAACTTTAATATATTTAGGCTTAAGGAACAGTAACTCTAACCATGAGAAACAGCGGTGCTGTGAGACACACACACACAGCAGAGACTTTCCTATCATGCTGCTAGCCCAGCTACAACTCAGGTATCCATATAGTGGCTCCCGCAAAACGACATGAACATGCTTGTAGTGACTGTCAGAGCTACACCAGACTCTCCAGCAGAGAAAAAGACATTCTCAAGGTTGTTAGCTTTGACACTGCCCTTCAGCTGCAGTTTTAAATATACTGGGAGAGCAGAAAGTCATAGAATGAAGGTTTGTAGCTACCCTTTAATGACTAATATCTAATCAGCTAACCAGTCTGCTGTAGGTATCTATTCACTGTACAGTAAGTAAAATTTACGGCAAGACATACTTTGTAGAAACATTACTGCTGCAAACAATTTTCATCCACATTATCAAATCATCAGTAATGGGTTACATGTAGCCTATTTATACTTTGCTAAAACTACATACACAGCTTGAAGAAGCTTTGTGTTGGGAGCTAGTAAGCAAAACTAATTTCAGTTATTGCATCACTAAAAATGGGTCTGTTAAATGTTAAACAATGCCATCAAATGAGATGTAATGGTGAAAAACATGAGTGGTTTTGGATAATAATCACACCTGCAATTTGAACTGGCAAATCAGACAACTGTACTTTAAAATTGAAAATGCAGGTTGGATTTGTGTGTAGCTTGACTAATGCAAGACTAATAATGGCTCCCTGTTCTGCAGATGAGCTGGTGGGAAAAGGAGTTCTTTATAACAGGAAACCTTTTCCAGACTAAATGCCTAATTAGCCCATTGTACAGCAAGCTGTCAATAATATCTGGTTTTATAGTAAGTGCTGCACTGGCCCACAAGGTTTAATGTCTAGTAGACGAGGAAGAAGAGTTTTTGTAACCAAGTAAAATGTACTGGTAGTAAAAGACAACACACACAGTGACTAAAAAGCCACTTATAATAGAGCCTAAAGTGTGGCTAAATGGCAGAACCATGAGCTGCACAGATGAGACACTAGAAACGAAGACCCTCTTTATGTCTGCAGACTACTGACAGTGAATTGCTCATTAGCACATTGTGTAACAAAGAACCACAAGGTACAGTATGTGTGGTAATTATAGCCTTAAGTGTCAAGCTAAGCGCAACAACAACTGAGATGATAAAAAAGAAGCTGCAGGCAATAAATGGCTAACAACATCAATGAACTGTAGTCAACTACAAAGAAAATAAGTTTAAGGGTGAAAAAACCATTAAGCTACCATAAGCTGCCATTAAGTTCTCTGGAGAAGAGAAGGACACCTTTCTGGATCACCAAGCAGTAATATGTTAACAGGGATGTTGCTTTAATGACTTCCAAGGTCAAATTAAGACTTTAGTGGGCCTTTTTATATTGCAATTACATTGACAGACTGTAAATTGTGTGTCTTCTCTGAAGATCACTTAAGCTATAGGTTTATTTTATACCTGGCCATAGATACTTAACACTGTCTGGAAATATAAACATACAGTAGATAGTCATTGTCTGCTATCATGAATCACTTTTAAACACAATGTCATGGTTTGGAAGAGGAGGAAACAACAGTTAAACTATGACCCCACAGTAGATTTTATTCATAAACCATCAAAACTTTAGCAAGAGACAGATGGATGGATTGATCAATGGGAAAATGCATATCTGGAAAACACTGTAAAGCTGTGGTGAGCCAAACCTGAATATTTATACTGGAAAAACATGCTTTTTTTTGCACACAGGCACATATGAATTTGTGCCCAAACCAAAGTGCTTCCATGTGTGATATCTTGGGGAGAATGGAAAAGATAAACTTAACTGCCTTCTTGAAGTGAAAGAACATAAATGTGTATGGTTTAATAGAATAAGAAGTTCTTTGGTTGTGTACTAATTGTTAGGTAACTGACACTGGAACATCTTTGTTACATGTCCCATCTGAAAATGTGGTCCCCAGTGAAATGAAGCCAGGGCCAACACTACCGAGGACTGAGTCCCTCTGCAGTGGTGGGCAAGTGTTGGTGCCTCTTCCACCACATGCTGTTAGTGTCCTGTAAAATCAATGACCCCTTCCAAAACTAAGATTTAAAAATAAGTTCCACACAGTTGCATGTTGGCTTGGTTGTGAAG